GCGTGGAAAAATTAAAATCCGTCCCCTGCAATTGTTGGAAAGCCTAATTCTCTCCTTGCACGCTATGAGAGAAGCATGTTTTCCCTATGCACCTTAACACGTTGACGACCAGCCTATTTTTGCTTGTCCGCCGCGTGGGACCACGCGCATTTTTTTTGTAAAAAAATGCGTCCTGCCATCAGGACGCATGGTCCCAGAAAACATTTTTTTGCCGAGTTTTTTTAAAATGTTGAATTTTTAGGAATTTTTATCAGTAATTACGAAATCATAATCTTCTGGAACGTTCTCAACAGTTCCAGAGGGTATTCATTGAAAATGAAATCTGCATCCTGGCATCAGGACGCATTGTCGCCAACGTATTAAGGAAAATATTTTTGTCAGTGTCCTCCAAAACTCTTGCTAGTTTTTTCATGGTACAGAATTGCAGTACCTATGGCATCGAGAGAGAAAAAAATCGTTTTTTGGATAACTTATTCTCTTAGGCCTCGTCCACACCAGAAAGTTTTCTATGCAATTTTTCTTTGCAAGTCGACTTGCAAAGAAAAATTTCATGGTGAGGACGTCTTTGAAAGTTTCCTTTGCAAGAATTTCCCTTTCTGAGACCTCTTTGCAAGAGACTTTCAAAAGTAGAAACCCAGTCTACTTTTCTTGCACAGAAGGTGAAAGATTTCAGTGTTGAAAGGTTGATAGACATCACAAACATCTGAGATTTAAGAAGATATGGATTGTTTTTGACACGCGGTAGAGATACTGGATAGAGGCTGGTGAAGTGAAATCTACACTCGCCAAAAATCTGAGTAATTATCAGCCTCTCTCTTCAGCCGAAATGGACTCATGATTATGAGTGTCCTTTTGCAAAATAAGCGGTCCAACTCATCTCAGGAGTACCTCAAATCCTACCCACTCATTCTTATCAAATTCATGAATCCAAGGGGGTCTTTAATTCAAGCTCTCTCATGAGAAACGAATAAGCACCATGTTCATGTCTCCGCTACAAGAAGTTCCTAACCCAAATCGAATGGCGTGCCTCCATTTTCTCCCTTTTTTTTTTAGAAAGAAGAATCATGACAAATTTCATTGCCACACGTTGTTTCCTTGTGAAGAGAGCCATCTTGAATACTTAACTTTCATAAACATTGGTATGGAGAACGCTCTGACGAAGAAAAATCCTTGCAGAAATAACTTTCAAAGACGTCCACACCATGACATTTTCTGGTGTGGACTATTTCCGAGAGTTTTCCTTACAAGTTTTGTATTGTAATATTCTTTCATTGTCTATGCAATAAAAACTTTCCTAGTGTGGACGAACCTTTAGCTGCGCAAGGCGGCCATTGCACATCAGGATTTGAGCTATCACATCCCCAAAATTTTCATGGAAACAATCTGGTTCGGAATTTCCATCTGGAACAATGACAGAAACATCATCCGTCCCCATTCCTATTCCTATTCCATTCCTATTCAAGTCCGAGGAGTATACATGGTGTCTTAGTCAGAATCCTGGAGAATTTTCCCCATTCATTTCGAAGCTGTCTGGTCATTTTGGGTCATTTCTCCTCATCTTGTATCAATTTCTCAGTTTTGAGTACTACTATTAGTTATTACAAACCGACCCAAGTAGCCACGGATGATCCAAAACTCGTCCATGGACAGTCCAGTTGTCCAGAAATGGATAAAAGTCCAGAGGCGGTCGTCCGTTGGATGTACTTAGGATGCCATCGCCATGGATCGATATATTCTCATGCATTCTGAGCTTTATTCGAGCAGAATTTTTCTACTTCGAACGCTCAATTATTTCCATCTTATTGAATGAAGGTTTTATGGAATGGCGTTACGAAGATCCGATCGTGGGATTTATTTTGTTCTTTTTTTTCCTTTCTAATCTCCCATCTTAGGTCCCAATCCAATAACTTCAATCAATATATAGATAGTGTGACATTTTAATTGAACCAGTGCGTGATTTCATTTAGATTTCGACAATACGAACGAAACGATGAGTCAGTCCTTCTTTGGGCATCCATTGGACGTCCAGCAATGGAACCTCCAAGGACAACTTCTTATGGTCTCCCATTGGATGTCCTTGGATGGAATCCCTGCCCCGTTGAGGCCTTCCATCTGACTTGACATCTAGTAGTTCATTCAAGGAATAGAGGGCTCATCCCGTCGCTGTATGTCTCCCGATTCCTTAAATGATAGTAAATTGTTCTGCGTAAGCTTTCATCCTCTACTCGATAATTTCCCACGTACAAGTCTAAGGAATGAAGTACAGTCGAACTCGGTTATAACGTCATCGAAGGGACCAGGTAAAAACCGTCGTTATAACCGAGGTTGCCTTTATTGGCACTCCGTTTTCCTGTTTTCAAAATTGATGCTAGTATAACGTTACAGCTCTAGTTTACATTGGTCATACTGCACTAGCTTCAGTTTCAAGACTGACCCACTAATCGTGATGTTCTCGCTTCTTTGGGTCTTGAACTACTTTATACTTTATCGACTTCGTCGATGTCATCTCGACAGATCTAGGAAGTTTCTTGTTTTGTGACACGTTCTCGTGAGCACGGATGAAGCTGTCACGATTTTCCCAAATTGTGGAAACAGATGAACAGGTGTCCATGTTCGCGAGCGACGTTAGCCTTACTCCGAGCTCTTTCTATTAAACTAATCGAGCACACTTTCCTTTCAATCATGAAGGCTTGCCTCTTTCATTTTCCATTGGCAATGCTGTCAGCGAGAAATGCAAATGGCGACTGAAGATGAGGTGATCTTAGTTGCTGGGAATTATCCCTCCCTGACATTGCTCCAGCCACGCCCACATGACTCACAACCGAATCCAGGAAATATAAAGTAATGGCTCGCCGACACTGATTTTTCCAATGACGGAAATTTCAGTTAAGAATGACGGATTAGGCACGAACGTTGTCGATTTCGTCAGTGGGGCCTTGAATGGACTTCGTTATAACCGAGGTTTCCTTATAACCGAGTTCGCTATAACCGAGGTAAAATGTTACGTGCCTTATGGGCTCTACGCCGGGACCTGGCGCTTTTGTCGTTATAACCGAGGTTTCGTTATAACCGGGGTCGTTATATCTGAGTTCGACTGTAATTCTAATTAATTCATTTGTTGAGAGACGTAAAATAGCTCAAGGAGACTCCTGGCAATTCTTGCACATTGTATGGTGAGAGTGTGGTTCCCCTTGCCAAGTAAGTCTGTCCCTACCTCAAATGAACCATGCTGCCTATTGCGACGGGGATAAATAATGTCTTGCTAGACAGATAAGGATGGGAAGTGGAGAGATTCGGCTCAATATTACTTCACTTTCCATTCCGAACACTCCTCTCCTTGTTTCTCCAAGGAATGTGAGAGGGCGAGATTGTCAATAGGCAGAAAATGCTCCTTTCCAACACCATGAATATTCATGAGCATGCAAATTTATGCTCCATAGCTACCTGGGGATTACTATCGTTGCACCCCTCAATGGTCATCCAAAAGCTTTCCCAAAGGGAACCTCCAATGGAACCAAAGAGACGGACATCCAGTAGTCCATCCAATGGACATGTCCAAGGATTTTCCTTGGACGAGGGATTTAGTCATACAGGGGATGTTCGAAGCGGATATGCATGGGATGTCCAAGTGTCCATGAGGGTATGTCCAATGGATTTATTTTGGATCAAAATTGCTACTTGGGAATCCAACCTAAGTAACAAGTCCAAATAGTGGACGACCGCTCCCTGATTTATACCCATCTCTGGACAACTGGACTGTCCATGGACGATTTTTGGATCACCCATGGCTACTTGGGTAGGTACCGAGATTTTGTATCATGAAAAAAATGGCAAGAGTTTTGGAAGACATTGACAGGAGTCTTTTCCTTAAGGTGCATAGGGAAAACGTGCTTCTCGCATGGCGTGCATGAAGAGAAGTAGGCTTTCCAACAATCGCTTCGGGATGGATTGTAATTGTTCCACGCTGAAAAACCGAACCAGACGGATTCTGAGGCGAATCTTGGACAACAATGGCACAAACCATGATATGAGTGGGCGCTCTGTAAAGGTAACAGATTAAGCTGTCTGAGGATATAAAAATGTTCATCACAAAAGTGTTGCAAGATTTTTGGAGGGCAGTACAGGGCCGCCCAGAGGTTTCCAGGGGCCCGGGGTAAAACTAAACCGGAGACCCCCCCGTCTGGACGGCCCTGAGGCAGTATATTTTAGAGTATAATTAGAATAATTAGACGCTCTGTAAAACGACACGTGAAATGTGGAATGAACGAATTGGCTTCATACTCCATGGCCTATCAGATTGAATAATTTTTATGTTTTCGATCTGCCATATTTTCAAGTTATCCAAATATTTCTCATTTGGCCTTATCGGAAGTTTCATGTTTCGTTTCCTTGTTATGTTCACCGCGTTTTAAACATTAATCCCGAAATTTCCTATCTGTTCCACAAATGCGTTCTGCCTGCCGCATTTTACCGCACCTCTTGCAGAAAGCGATTCATCGCGAAATTTTGGTGTTTTTCACTTGAGATAGACATTTTTTTCACTTGACTTCGACACGCATGCATGAGAAATAACCCACGCAAGACTGTCCGAGTCTTGTGAAAAACTGTCAGACTCAGGTTCACTGTAGTTCCTGGCCTGTTTCGCGTTTGGATGCACCCATTGCAGGCTGCAGACCAAGCACTAGATTATTGTTTGGTAGGCCTAGGTTCATAGGTCATGATAACCAAATATGATTATGGTTATGCTTTGTGAAATGCAAACATGGATTCTGGTGTCCGGAACTACCTCTGGTTTTTGTTCGATATGATTCGATATTCTTGAAGGAGAGACCATAGGGTGAAACCGCATAAGTTCAGACACTAACGTTAAGGTAAATTGTTTTATCTTTAAAAGGTGACCAGTTTGGTGTCTTAAGTTGCGTATAGGCAGGTCATCAGTAGCTTTAGGTTGACATTGGAAACCTTGGCCTATGTTTTCAGGTTCATTTCATTTTCTTTTAAAACTGGTCTTCACATTTTTTAATAGGTTGAATGAGTTTTATAGTGAAATTATAATTTTGGGCTATTAATTTGAAAAGTCAGCCTAGAGTTACAGTGGTGAAACCCAAGCTATACTAAACCAGTCCAAATTCACTTCAGGCTGAACTAGACTGCATTTTCTTGAGAAAAAATGGCAGGATGTTTGGATCACCTGCAGTTGCCACGCATTGCAGAATGGTTGGAGTTGACTGAAAGGAGAAACACCATTGCATCCATTGTCTCCAGTGCCTTGGTTTGTCCACAAGTTTTTTGGTTCTCTTCCTTCCTCAGAAGGCCAAGCTTAGCTCATTCATTTAACTTGGCCTAAGCCTATTCTCTTGCTGATGAAGCAACAAAAAAACTTCCATTTGGCATTTTTCTTTTGCATGGTATCAGTTCTTCAGTGGCTGGTGGATCATCATAGATGTTGCTGCCAGATACCCAAGTACTCAGGATTTCAATCATGCATACCATGTTTGTGGTGTCATGGGTACACTCTCTTTGATAATGTGAGTTCTTAAGTTAGACATGTTAAGCTTAGTCTTCAGGATGTAAGTATAGGGCTATGAGGTTTGACACTGATGATATATGTGGTGTCTCTATAGCTAAGGCTTCAAGAGCAACAGGCATAGCCTATGTTACAAGTGCATTTCACCTAATTTTTTTTCACAGACAGGTCAAAACATCTTTGTAGTAAGCCTGGTTAACTGTCTGGCCTTGTGGGACAAACTCATGATGCATCAAGATCATGATGCATGATTGAAAATTCGAAGAACACANTTACAAGTGCATTTCTCCTTTTTTTTTTTTTTTTTTTTTTTTACTTGGGTGTATTTGTATATTTTAAAATAATTCTATTTAGACATTACCACATACGTGGTCTGATCAAAAAGTTCCAGTACTTTCTTGTTAAAAAATAAACTGCTCTAGGTAGGGGGCTAGGACTAGTGTAGGTCGGAGTGGATGGGGGGGGGGGGTTACTGCATGCATGTTGAAACCTCCTTTGCACTAGGATTAGCCAGTCACAAATCACGAGTGTTGAAATCTGGTTGTCTCTGTGTTCTTCGAATTTTCAATCATGCATCATGATCTTGATGCATCATGAGTTTGTCCCACAAGGCCAGACAGTTAACCAGGCTTACTACAAAGATGTTTTGACCTGTCTGTGAAAAAAAATTAGGAGAAAACAGCCCCAACTTTTCCAAAATAAAGCCTGGTGTTTGCATCATGACAATGCTCCAGGCCACACTGCTCTAACAATTCGAGAGTTCTTGGCTAAAAAAATAACTCCTGCTTTGCCTCATCCTTCCTATTCACTGGACCTGGCTCTGTGTGACTTTTTCCTTTTCCCCAAGGTTAAATTTCATCTGAAAGGAAAAAGATTTGAAGAAATTGCAAGCATCAAGGAAAATGCGACAAGGCAGCTTAAGAGTCTTACACTCTCCAGGACTTCCAGCAATGCTTCCAGAAGTTGCAGGAGTGTTGGTATAAGTGCATTGCATCAAGGGGGGAATACTTTGAAGGGGACAACAATTAATTTTAATGTACTTATTCAAAATAAATTTTAGGAATAAAAGTACTGGAACTTTTTGATCAGACCTTGTATGTTTACATTGAAGCCAGCTGGAAATATGTGAAACTCAAATCATGAAACTGTGATAATCCTCTATTGAAGTCTTTTGTTGAATTAGCTTGACTCAAATCCTGCTCACCAAAAATGCTTGTTTGTGGAAATTGCAAGTGCACTTAACCCATTGAGTTGTATGGTCAGACTGGTATGTCCTGCATCTTCTAACTCAAATTGCCACATTTGTCACAGTTGACACTCACAGATTTGGAGGTTCCTGACTATGTCCTGCCTTACTCAGTACTGCCATCTTCAAGCTGGTACAGAAAGCAACAGAGAAAAAATTAAATACTAACTTTGAGGTGGTTCGTGAGAGAGGGATTTCAGTGTGACTCTCTCACTGACAGATGCTCATTCCACTTCAAAAATTAGGAGGATGGAGGTGTGCTCTTGATTTTCATTGACAAATTTGGAAAGCCCTGGAACTGGCAATAAATTGATGACAAAATATCTCATGTGTAAGGTGTTGGTGGAAAAGAAGCAGTTTGTACCAAAAGGTATTACATGACAAACTCCCTCACAGGAAATGAGAAGGAAAAGGGGATTAAATCAATTACTTCCTCCGTATTTTGCCTCTTTACGTACATTCAGAATTCAATGTATGGAATACAACTTAAATTTTAGGAATGTAATTTAATAATAAGGTAATTTACTTTCATTTGAATATGTAATAAGATGCTACTTGAAACATTGGAGGAAAGAATCAGGTTGGTGGAAAGCTACTTCTGTTTACTTTTTGTTTTTTCTATTTATCATGTCTAAATATAAAAAAAAATTACAAAAATTAAATTAATTATCACATTATATTTCTAACATTTCATTATTGTTTAATAATAATAATAATAATAATAATACCACACCCTGAAGCACTACTGATTACCCAAGATTACTAAAGTTGAATTAAAGTAATTTTGACATACTTCCAAGGTAAAAACTGTATATGTTCCTAAAAGTAAAAAATTCTGCATTGGAGCCCATCTGCAAAAAAAACTCACCCCTGAGGACATGGCCAGTTATAAAAAAAACTTGCTACTCTATGGGTTAATTGATACAGATGTAGTAATAAAATGAAGAAGGTGGGAGGTTTTGAAAGAGGGGCTATCTGCTAAATAGGAGAAAAAGTTGCTTTACTGAAATGAAGGACCACTAGAACTCCATGGTTTTCATGTCCAATAGCAAATGAAATTGCTGAATCCAGTTCATTTGTTGTCATTTTTGACTCCACAAAATTGCAAAATTTGTTTCCTATCTATATTTTAATGTTTTAACAAGATTTCAAATGTAAAGGTATTGGAGTGGTCATCCAAAGGAATTATTATGCTACCATGTGGAAATCAAAAAGCCAAAATAAAGTTTCCCCAAATAACCCCACCTTGTCTTACTTTTAAAAATATTTTGTAATCATTTACCATTAGAAACCTATATTCTTAGGAACTTCTGGTTCTTTGTCATTTGACTGCCACCAAACCATGAAAATCTCTCCACTTTATAATAATAATAATAAAAAATGGGTAGGTTTTCAGGGCTTGGTGCTTAAAATCAGCAGAAAAGCTTGTTCCATCCCTACCTCTTACCATATTGCATTCATGTGTCTTTTTCTTTTAAGGATAAATGCAGTCTCCAATGGACAAGTGAGAGGAGATGCATACACAACAGGATGTATGGGACAGAGAGGTGCCAGAGTTTGGCTCTTTGCTGGCTTTGTCCTTGGCTTTGGATCCATCATTGCAGCTTCCTGGATCCTGTTTGGCGCCTATGTTGTCCCAAGTAATTCCTATTTCATTACCTTTTGCATTATGTAGGAAGATGACTGAGAAAGAAGAAAAGCAGTAGGGTCGAGGCTCCACCTATGGCCACTTAAAGGAAATTCTCCATTTGATAATTCAATTTTATCTCAATCCTTAGCACCTTATTTGTAGTTTCAACTTCTTATATGACTTAAATTATTGTTATCATCAACTATCCAAAGTTAAAAAAGATATATTTTATTTCTCAATTAAAGTTTTAATATTAATTTTGGTAAAATCACTTCCTATGGCCACCTTAAAATAAATCAAGTAAAGGCTATGCCTCACATTTATTTCTCATACAAATATTTAAAAATCAACATATATGGACCAAAAGGACACAGTATAGGACCAAGGCTACAATGAATCAGTTTGGCCCACTAACATTGAGGGCAAAGGTTGTTGTGGTCCTAAGTTTCTGCTATAGAAGACAGGAATATTGTGGTAGCAATCAGATTTTAATTGTTTTCCCCCAAGGAGGAGCTACTTCAAGATGTGAATTTGATATAGTAAGAAAAGAAATAAACCAAGATGTGAACCAGAGTGCACATTTTGAATCTAATTGTTTCAATAACAGAGAAAAGGCAGCTAACTTGATAAAGTGGCCATAACTGGGTGCTTGACCGTAGTTACCTCATGCTTATTTTAGATGCTGTCTGTGAGCCTGTATCTTACAGAAGTATTGACCTTCCATTATCATTCCAGAAAGGGAGAATCAGTGGCCAGGAGTGGGCCTATTCCTTCAGAATGCATTCATCTTCTTTGGTTCATTGGTCTACAAGTTTGGCCGGTCTGAAGATCTGTGGGGCTGAGAGATGCTTATACTTGGAGGAGGGGGGGGGGGGGAGATGGTAATAAAAGAAATTCCTGCGGATTATTGGCCGAAAAGACAGAAGCCTCAATTGCTGGCTTCTCTCTCTCCCTTTCCAATCTTCTGCTGCTGATGAGGGGAATCATCAGGGCGTGACAGACGAAGTCCAGAGGGATTTTCACTTCTTGTGCCACTTCTTCACTGACACCGATTTCTCCTTCTAATTAAGGAATTTTTTCGTTTTTTCCTTGAAATATTTCTTTTCTGGCTTCCATCCTCCTTTGTAAACCTTATTGATACCTTATAAACCTGATAATATTTCTTCTTTACGATGATTGATTGTGAATGTGGAACGGAATCGGAAGAGTTTTTTCCATCTGAAGTATGGACTTGGAAAGGGGATCCAGATGGTGTCGAGATTCGTTATGCGTGAAAGCCTTTTAAGGGCTTTTCAGGGTCAGCTTGAACCCCCGGGCTATCTTCTCCAGGCTTCCTCGGATCATTAAACCCAAAGTAGAATGGAGGATGTACTATATATAAATCAAGAAGTCAATCGAACGTGTACTAAAACGAAGTAATTGTAAGGCCCCTTTTGTGTCCAGCTGACCACTTTCCAGTAAGCGGTCTCTCCATGTTTTTTTTGCTCGTATTCTTGCGACGACATTCTCACCTTAGTTATGCAGTAACTGGAAAAAAAAATACTGCATAAACGGGAGTCTTCGAGGCAACAAATGTGAATTATTGGAAAAATAAAAATAATTAAAGACAAGTGTACGAAGTAAAAGTCTGATAATTGAAGGATGCAATGCAATAATGGAAAGGTCTGAAAAGGAAAGGTTTGAACGTAGGTAGCCGAACTGTGAGAAAGCCTTAAACGGAGTGAAAGAGCTTCGTTACTGAATTATGCCGAGGAGGCATAATTCATTCTACCCTCTATTGAGGGAGGAATGGATAGTTGATGGGAATGATGTCAATTTCCTTCTGTCAACTGAGATCCTAGTGTTTATCAATGATACCGTTGCTAGCGATTCATTGAAGCGGTTTTCGGAAGGTGGGGAGGTGATGAGTCAGATTGTTGAGGACCTCTGAGTGAAAACTCTACCCACTGCTTTCTCTCTCCTTGCGTCTTCTACGGCCTGAAATAGATTCTCCGTCTGGGCCTGTGTCTGAGTCACCTCCTTTTATTTGCTATTCACTTACTCCCTTCTCGTGGACCCCTTTCTTGTCTCTCTCTCTCTCTCTCTCTCTCCCCTCCCCATATTCGAAAAAATATTGAAAAACATAATGAAAACCAAGTTTTCTGAGAAGGAACTGGATATATTTTATAAAGTTTCTTGGGGTGCTCTAGGAATCTCTTCAATTCGGTGGCAATTATGTTCGTCCTCTGTCATTTTACTCTGGGACTCACGTCCTGTGCGCCACATTATCGAATAGGCCAATATGAATACAGGTCTTGGATCGTGAAGGTTATCCGGAGATTTCTCCACAGTCTCCCATGAAAGACGCTGCATTCGTCCGGTGAACTTTTGTTTTTTTAATGGTATATACGTTTACTGCTGCCTTCGCCGTAAGGTTGACCTACGTAGTTTCCTTCCCATCCCAGTGTATGCTAGAGCAAATGTTTAGTATGATCGATATGAAGTTATGTTTCCTTCCAAGTCCGAGTCCAAGCCCACGGCCTTCTACACGAGGTATCATGTACTTTCGTTTTTATGTTCTATCTTCTCGCCTTGGTGCGATTCTCTCACGCATCTCACACTCTCAATGTCGATGAAAAAATAGGGATGGGTGGTGTATGGCTTACCGTGGAAATAATGAGCAGACGGGCCCATGTATCGCTCAAGGAAACAGAGCTATTCTTCCTTTTCAATTGGGGTCATTCAATCTCTAGTCTCTAGAGTTTCAAGAAGTTGTGGGAGACATCTCATGGACTTTCCTGAAATTGCGAAAATCATGCCAAAACCATTTAGATCAGATGAGTGTTTTATACTTGATTTTGAATCCCTTTAGGAGGCCTTTTCATTTCCTGATTATTTTTTTTAAATATTATCATCAAACGAGTACGCTCATGTCTAAACAATGCCCCTGTTATGCGTGATTCGTGCAACTGCTCATTGCACGCATTTTGCAAGTTTTTGCCGAATGCGCGCAAAAAACGGCATGACTGCGTATTTCATGAAATGAGCAAAAACATTGCCTTTTGCGCGCATTCCGCTTGCTTTTTTCACGCAATAAGCAAGGGAAGTTCCGAGGAGGAAGTTTTTCGAATCAATAAGATTTACCCATTCTTCTCTCCTGTAATGCTTAATGTTTTCTCTCTGATTGTGGCACAGCTGTCGCGTGGACGCTGAGCTGGGGTTTAAACAGCTCACGGGCGTAATAAGACAGCCAGGCAGTCGCCGCTCCCCTTACAATGGAGCGGTGATGAACCTATCTAAAAAAAAAAGTTACTATTCGTGTCACTGAATTCGATCGAGACCGACCTAATCCCCCAAACATAACTGGATTGGTTTTTGGAAAGGAAGGACGGGAAGCACAAGATCGGAGCAAGAGATGAGACACTCAACATCTGTATGGAAAGTAACGCGTTGGAATCGGTAAAAGCGAAGATCGTCAACTTGCAAGGCATCAACACCGAGGAGAAGCCGTTGCAAAATCGTTACTGCCATCTTAATAGGCGGGAGGCTGGGCTTCAGAAAATGCCAATGTAAGACCAGGGGCCAAACCTCAAGATGCACTTGTAAGAAAATATGGATTAGATGTGAGGGCTCATGCTATTCTGGTAATACCTGCCTGAATCACGACTGAATATTATTTGGTTGATGGTATTGTAAAATGGTCATTAATTCCTTATGACAATTTCGACAAAAATTGTCATGTTTTCAATGTAATTGACAACGTATGAAATCAATTTGGTGATTGCTCAAGGTGAGCAATTGACAGCATGTATTTGCCTATTGCACGCATTTTGCAAGAAAATTGTTCATTTCATGCAATGAGAGCACAATGGTTGCATTTTTCATGAAATAGGCAAAACCGTTGCGCAATGCGCGCAGTACGCAGTTGCACGAATCACGCATAAAGTCCCTAACATTTGATCTTGAATGGCATAAAAACAATTAATTAAATTGACTTACTTGATGAGGTACGCCAGCTTTCAGGTGAGCCATTCTCCCTCGACATCAAGTTAGTCATGCGCAAATGAATTTCCTATGTTCTTGAATCAAGCATTCCAGCAGAAACTTTGGATGTTGTATATTTAAGTATGGGACTTGTGCAACAATTCCATCATATTATGTTCATAATCAACCACTAATTTTTGGACTCTGCACGTCTGCGTGAATGGATTGACCCGGCAGAGAACATGAATTACTTAGGGCTGCATGCTTACCATGCTTTTCGGATTTGAGGAATGAGGATAGGCCTTTGAAAGCCATGAAATTAATATCCACTCTTTGTCCCTCCCCCTATGATTCTGCCTCTTAAGGTCACATTCCTGAGGTACAATCTTCAAGATGCAGTGCAGCAATGAATAGTGCTTAGCTGTAGGCATGAAAATATAATACCACTAATGGAAAATATATATAAAACCAAATACTCCTGAGTGACAGTTTTCAGGATGAGGTGGATCTTTGAGTCTTTGACTCGGCCATCCTTCTCAAGTCGGCAACTCTAACCTTTAGGCCTACGGTTGTTTATTTTGAACAGCCATGTCAGACAGTTACTAGCAAAGGACACCCTCTTGAAGCTTGGCGTATCTGTAGAAGTGATCACCCTTTAAGCATGCCCACTTCAACCCCTAATAGGACAAAACTCTGGGACATCAAAATAAAGTATCTTACCATGCCAAACCCTCATAGTTGAGCGTGACCATCAAGTAGACATGATAAATGGGCATGTTTTGAAAAGTGCTATGGATTCTTACCAGAAAACGTTTGGAGAAGTGGTCTGGGACATTAAGGTTCATTTAGAACAAGATTTTAATGGGAAAGTAGCCCATGATGACAAACAGTAATTATACTTACCAGTTACCTATGAAGGTTTAACTCTCTAAAAAGTCATTCCGTGCTTTGATGTCATTCAAGGACATTGTTTAGACAATGATGTGCTCATTTGATGGCGAAATTGATAAATAATGCATTTAATAGACGACTAGAGCTGAGCGATGAGGTCGAAAGCATTCGTCCAGCATCAAACTTTTTTTTTAGATATTGAGTGCTGAACGATATACATGTTAGCACGTTCAAGTCAAAACTTTGAAACCCTGTATCATTGGAGCAATAAGCATGAATCTAACGAAATATTTGGCGCGATTTTTTAAATGTTAAATGGGACAAACCTTTCTAAAAGTGAAACTAATCAATGAGATCTCAAGCTGTCGGGCATTCGATGTGGAATTAGAAGAAAATCAACGAACATTGTCATTGTCAAGCTGTCGTTTGATGGGGCGGTGCACAGTGGTACAAAAGTCGGAAATTCTTGGACAAAATTCATATTTTGAAAATGGAGGAAGAAATAATATTTTGTCGCAAAAGTTACGGATAGTTGTCCTTGTCCGGCATCGCGATTTCTAAAGGCCTTCCTCTGGTCCTTTATTAGCCTTTACGTGGTGCAAAAGTCAATTATTGGAACTTTTGTTAAAATATGGAAACCTGATGCGAAATTGTGACAAAAGTTTGTCATGTAATACGACTGTTCTTGTCGCTGTTTTTTCATCAAGTACGATCTGAAGGCAAGACACCTGAAGGTGAGTCTTGCTTATTGTATGTACAGTTTTACTCCTGATGCATATGCATAACTCATGCTATTTATTAGATCCTGTGTAGTTCATTGATGAACTACTTCTAATGACAAGGTAAATTTATCGAGTGAATTTGAAACACTTCTCAAGATTTCTCAGAAAACTCCTTATAGACCAATGAGTATCTATTAATGAAGGATAAAATCAGCCTCTAATTTCCTGCGACAAGCTGCGCTTAAAGTTAGGAACGTTTTTCTTAAGACCAATTCCAGTCAATTGATATCGCTT